CATGCATAAAACAAAATATGCTGATTTGCTGCTCAGGAAACATTTCTTATTATTATCAATTTTGAAAACTTTTTATTTATTTATTTTGTTATTTGTCATTTTTTTTAGGCAGAAGAATCAGAATCAGAATCAGAAAGAGCTTTATTGCCAAGTATGTTTGCACATACAAGGAATTTGTTTTAGTGTCACAAACTTCCAGTACACAGAGACAACAACAACACACAGATAATTAAAAAAAAAGATGTGAATAAAATACACATACATAAATATAAATAAACCACAAAAAAAGAATAAATTGTATGTACAGGTGAGCTATAGATCGAATAGGAATAGAATGAAATAAAACAAAATAAAACATAAGTTGTAGGGGTGTACTAGGATTTAGGGTAATAAATATGTATAGGGTTATTGCACATACTTTTATTGCAAAATGGGAGAACATTAACTGTTCATGAGGTAGATTGCCTGGGGAAAGAAACTGTTCTTGTGCCTGGCTGTCCTGGTATTTGGTGCTCTGTAGCGCCGACCAGATGGCAAAAGTTCAAAAAGGAGATGGCTTGGATGTGAGGTATCTAGAGTGATTATCTGAGCCCTTTTCCTCACTCTGGATGTATACAGTTCTTGGAGGGTGGGCAGGGGAGCACCAATAATCCTTTCAGCAGTCCGAACCGTTCTCTGTAGTCTTCTGATGTCTGATTTTGTAGCTGAACCAAACCAGACAGTTATTGAAGTGCACAGGACAGACTCGAGGACGGCTGAGTAGAACTGCTTCAGCAGCTCCGGTGGCAGGTTGAATTTCCTCAGTTGGCGAAGGAAGTACAACCTTTGTTGGGCCTTTTTAACAATGGAGTCGATGTGAGTGTCCCACTTCAGGTCCTGAGAGATGGTGCTTCCCATGAATCTGAATGACCCCACTGCAGTCACAGTGCTGTCCATGATGGTGAGTGCAGGGGGGTTCCTCCTGAAGTCCACGATCATCTCCACTGTTTTGAGCGTGTTCAACTCCAGGTTGTTAAGACTGCACCAGACAGCCAGCTCTTTAAGCTCCTGTCTGTAGGCAGACTCATCTCCATCCTGGATGAGGCCTATGACTGTAGTGTCATCTGCAAACTTCAGGAGCCTGCATTTATTTGATACAAAGTACAGCAAGAGCAGTAATATTGTGAAATATTTGTACAATTTAAAATAACTGCTTTCGAATGGATTATATATTTAAAATGTAATTTATTCCTATGATCAAAAAGCTGAATTTTCAGCATCATCACTCCAGTCTTCAGTGTCACATGATCCTTCAGAAATCATTCTAATATGCTCATTTGCTATTCAAGAAACATATTTGTTGTTGTTGTTGTTGTTATTATTATTAGTATTATCAATATTTAAAACAATTGAGTACATCTGTCAGGGCTCTTCCCCTGACACTCCGTTTGTCTTGTTTTTGCTCCCTGTGTCTATGTTGTCTTGTGTAGCACGTGGCTTTGTTGATTGTTTTTCTCAGCCATGTGCTTCTCTAGCCCCTCCTTGTTTCCTCTTTACCACACCCTCTTGTTAGCCTTGTTGGTCTAATTGTGCCCCTTGCCCTATTGTCTTTGCTGGTTCATGGTAATTTTCACCCCTTCTATCACTGTCTTTGTCTCTGTCTGTGGATGTGGCTGAGTATGTGTCCCTGTCTCCCTGCCTGGTTGGTCTTGTGCCCTTGTCTTGTCTGGTCCTTTGTAGTTCCATGTTCTTGACTTGCTCCTTGTTTTAGCATTTTGTCTGTTCTTGCTTTTTGGTTTTATTTTAATATTTATTCAGTTTTTCTAATCCTGATCTTTTGTTTTGCATTTTTGTTTGATATTCTTTAAGTTAGTGTGTTGGTTAAATTGATGACTATTTCTTTATTTTGTTACTTTACTCTTTATCCGTTCTTTTGTTTTATTTATCCCCTTGCTTGCTTTGGGATTAATTGTGTTCCTGTGGAGCCTTGTCCTGTCTTGTCTCTTTGTGTTAGAGTTCCTGTCCTGACCTATTCCTTTGAGTCCTGCCACTGGTTCTACCTGCCTGGCACTTGGTCCACTTCAGAGTCGGTGGTCAACAAGTATCTGAGCTCTGCTCTATGGTGCCTTGCTTGGTCTTCTCCATCAGCCTGGTCTTGCTGCTTCCTCTGCAGCTATTCTGCCAAATGAAGTCCAGGCTGTCCCAGTGGTGTTCCCTTGCTGTCTCCCTTTGTTACCGTGTTCCTGCTGTTGCATCACATGCGCACCTCACTACCCTCTTGTATCAGTTTTTTTTGTCAATAAACCCGTTACTCACACTGCGATGGGGTTCTCCTTCCAGATCCCTGACAACATCAGGATTCTTTGATGAATAGAAAGATCAGCATTTATCTGAAATAAAAAGCTTTTGTAACATTACCCATGGACTATACCGAAAGGGGGGAATGTAACAAAAGATTTCTATTTCAGA